CGTGTGTTAAAAAGGTTGTTAAGTTTAAAGTAACTGTGGAAATTCTGTGTATTACAAAGTTGTAACGAGAAAGAATAAACTATTTTTAATCAAGAAGGGACTTGGTTCATATAGTGGTGTAGGCCACATATCTCTAGCAATAACGCGGTTCTCGTAGCTTCAGAAAGTTGTGCACATATAGTATACAACTATGGGTTAATAACCTGAAAGTGTGATTGGATTTTTGTTTCTTTTATTAATAATTCATTTTACTTTTTTTTTTCGTTCTAGGGTTAACTAACCTACATTTTTGTACTCATTTTTCCAGCGTCAATCGTTCAAATTGTTCCTGTTAATTATATATTTATTTCTGCCATAAACTGGTTTTTAATAACGACGTTTCTGTTTAATATTTTTTACTTTTAACAGCTTCATTGCCTTTTTCCACTTTCTTTATAAATCTAATACTTCACCTTCATCTTTTCTTGATATTATTTCTGTAAACTTTCTCGCTCAACTTCACGTTTTTCATTCCTCACGAATTACTCCGCCGGGTTCTTCTCTGTTTTCTCTTTCAACGTACTTATCAATTTTCGGCTTTTCTTCTTCCATCCTTCATAAATATATAATAACTTTCTATATACTGTTTCTAGTTGGCCAGCTGGGTGTTTGTTTTTACTGATTGAAATTCCACGCTTGTTTTCTTGGCTGTATCAGCCAGAATATTGATCGGATAAGGAGAACGCAATTCAACTCCATTTGATAGGCTTAGTTCAGAAAGTTCCGGTCAACGTTGCTATAACAACAGATTGAGGTGAAGATATAAGGTATAGGTCAATATCAGTTTGTTTGTTTGTTTGTTTTGAATTTCGCGCAAAGCTGCACGAGGGCTATCTGCGCTAGCCGTCTCTAATTTAGCAGTGTAAGACTAGAGGGAAGGCAGCTAGTCATCACCACCCACCGCCAACGTTTGGGCTACTCTTTTACCAACGAATAGTGGGATTGATCGCCCAATTATAGCGCACCCAAGGATGAAAGGGCGAACATTTTTCGGTAACGAGGATTCGAACATGCGACCCTCAGATTTCGATTTTTTTAGTATCTCCTATAACCGTGACGTCATCTCTAGGTAATAAAGTGTTTGTGCATTTAGCTCATACACCGAATTACAAGTGTCAAAGACGTCTCGTTGACTTTTAAAGGACAGCGATACATTTACGGATTTACGATGCTAAAATTCGAGGTTTGATTCTCCGCTGTGGACACATCAGATTGGTCTGAAAGAAACAAACATACTGCACTTTAAAGACTTAGATCAAATGATTAAAAATGGAGTAACGCCATCTTGTGGTATTTCCAGTAGCTACTGTAGACACTTCAAGTATCTTTATTAACATTCGTGCCAAATCCGTCTCGAGTGGTTGCACGAGGAAAAGAAGTTTTTGAAAGTGAACTCAACAACGCACGTAAATAATGGTTTTTATTACACAGTTCGAAACCCTTTGTATATTTCAAGTTAATAAACCGATAATCATGACGTAATATTCCTTGAAACTCCCAGAACACTCATCGTGCGTGAGTAAGGCATACACATACGGCTTTAAAATGGGTTAAATCTTCACTTTTATTGTTCAACATTGAATCACATGTTCCAAATAGCTTGAATTTTAGTTCTATGTATATATAAATATACACATACAGAAAATGCGTTTTTTTGGATTTTGTTTCAGAATGCACATAATACAACCTGATCATTAAATCTGAATATAATACAACACAATTGTTGGTGCACGTGCTACGTACGGCAGGTGTGTACAGCGTGAGAGCCTAACCAGCTGTTTAACTCAAGTAAATATCCATGTAATATATAGGCTGTACAGGTTTCTTTTTATAGTTGCCTCTTCTATGAGGACGTAAGGCTTAGACCTGCTGGGAATACTGAAGCACGTCACACTAGTTATTAATACTGCTACCTGGAATATAAGAGAGAAGACTGAAGCTGATGCGTATCTATAAATAGCGTTTCATTTTATTGGTCATCCCAGACAATAGTAATATATTTTATAGCGTAAAGAAGGCGACTTGGACTCACATTATTAGAAAAAATAAGACGATATTTTGTTAATTGTTAGGTTCTGTAACTAGGTCTATAGTTTGGGAATTAAGATAATATTGTGTTAATTGTTAGGTTCTGTAACTAGGTCTATATTTTGGAAAATAATACAATATTTTGTTAATTGTTAGGTTCTGTAACTAGGTCTATAGTTTGGAAAATAAGATAATATTGTGTTAATTGTTAGGTTCTGTAACTAGGTCTATAGTTTGGGAAATATAACAATATTTTGTTAATTGTTAGGTTCTGTAACTAGGTCCATAGTTTGGAAAATATAACATTATTTTGTTAATTGTTAGGTTCTGTAACTAGGTCTATAGTTTGGAAATTATAACAATATTTTGTTAATTGTTAGGTTCTGTAACTAGGTCTATAGTTTGGAAAATAAGATAATATGTTGTTAATTGTTAGGTTCTGTAACTAGGTCTATAGTTTGGAAAATAATATAATATTGTGTTAATTGCTAGGTTCTGTAACTAGGTCTATAGTTTGGAAAATAAGATAATATTTTGTTAATTGTTAGGTTCTGTAACTAGGTCTATAGTTTGGAAAATAAGATAATATTTTGTTAATTGTTAGGTTCTGTAACTAGGTCTATAGTTTGGAAAATAAGATAATATTTTGTTAATTGTTAGGTTCTGTAACTAGGTCTATAGTTTGGAAAATAAGACAATATTTTGTTAATTGTTAGGCTCTGTAACTAGGTCCATAGTTTGGAAAATAATACAATATTTTGTTAATTGTTAGGTTCTGTAACTAGATCTATAGTT